ATATTAAAGCGATTATGTAAATAGGTTCATACTTTAAGAAATTTAATAAGGTACAATTTTTTTTATCGGATCCGGATTCAGATCCGGATCTTTCTTATTCGGATCCGGATCCGGACTTGGATTCGATTCGTTTTTTCGGATCGGATCCGGATCTTTAAAAAGATCCGTCCGATTCGATCCGTGCGGAACACTATAGTATAGGCCAATTTTTAAATCTATACTATACTGACCAGGTATTATATATATGAGTGTTAGTTTCTATAATTTTGCAGATCCATTTTTAAAAATTGGCCTGTACTATACTGATCTGCTATAATTTCTTTTTTGAACAATTATGCTATCGCTATGTATACTTCCGCCTATTTTGATATAACACCACCAAGCCATTATAGTTTTCTAGGGTTTTATCAATATCGTAGTAAACAAAAAGACTTTACATTTTCATTTCAAAAAGAGGCAAATACTTTAAAAAAAAAATCTGGAACCAATTTTAAATAATAATAGTAATTCGGAAATAATTGAAAGCGTCAAAGTTTAAAGGAAAATTTTGGAGCATTAGTAAACTTCTGGCTGTTAGACATTTGTGAAACAGTTTTTTTTTGTGATGACAAGGCAGTATAGAAGATTCTCAGAGTCTAAACCTCACAACTACGGCGGGCTTCTTGCGCGTGGCTTGCTTTATGATCTTGCGTGTTCGTTGTGGTCTACAGAAATGTAGTACGAGAATCTTCTAGCAGTTCTAAGAACTCTGACAACTACAGTGGGCTTCTTGCGTGTGGCCCGCTTTATGATCTTGTGTGTTCGTTGTTGTCTGCGTTGTCAGTAGCTATTTTTATCAAATTCATGTTTTTGCAGAATCACCAAACCAAATTCTGAGAAGTTGATAAATTCTGGAATGATATTGGAAATGAATACATGAACGAAGAGACTGCAACGGTAATGGAAAACGTTGATACAAAGCTAATATGATTTAATTTTTATATAGTATGGTCAATGGAAAGAATAATTAATGTATTTATCATTGGCAGAAATCTAATCGAAAACACAGCAAACATACTGATAAAATAGAACGTAAAACAGCCAAAAAGGTTAGTAAAGAATAAATCTATGTTTACTTGCAGAAATGCTTCACATATTCACTACTTTCGAGGTGTGACAAATCAAAACAACCCAAGGCCCAGCTCCTTCTACCAGTTGCGACGATGAAAATGAAGAACAAGACGAACAAATTGAGATCGATCTTGTTGGTATTAAGAAACAGCTGGAAATGGAGCCATTAATTGAGGTACGTAGTATTGAGCTTTTGATTATTTGCCACATTTCTAACGCTATTCACATAACTTAGTGGAATGTTGGCAATGTAAAAACATTACACGGAAATTTCGTCAGTATCAACGCAGTGTCATTGACAAAGTGATAAGCATTGGGTTGAAGTGGAGTGATATATATGAAATTTTGTAAGTACAGAACTGAAGAATAAAATTTATCTAATTAAATTTATACTTTGCGATTGTGCTTTAGAGCAACCGAAATTAAAACTATATATAAATAGTATATATTAAGAAAAAACCTGTTATCAGGACCAGATACAATCTTGAGATTGTATCTAGTACAAAGTATAATTGAAAACCCGATGACAGATCTATCAATATTACTTAGCGTTAGTTAGTGTTGTAGGCGAAACCTAAATATTTCGCCCAATCCGAATCCGAAATATGGGCGATATTAATTAGCCCAACGTTTAATTTTCCGAAATTTCCGATAAAATCCGTAATAGCCTAAATTTTGAACTAAATACGAAATGTCTGAATTGTCCGAGATTATATTAAACACGTGAACCAAATTTGGCCAATAGTATTTAAGTATTTCTCATAACATATGTATACGTTATTATGATCTATCGCTGTGCCCTCAATATTGGGAGAGCGAAATAAGTAATGGACCAGTTTAGTATATGGGTTTTGTGGGGGACCAACATGAGGTCAATTAGTATTCTCTATGATTAATAATCATTGGCAGACTTTAAATACTAATTGACCTCACGTTAGAACCAACCTCATGTTGGTCCCTCACAATTATTAGTACAGATTTTTACGTATCGGTATCATCTGATATTTTTGCACCCATGAAGATCCTAATATACCCGGCAAAATTCTTTACCCGAATTTTCAAAGATTTAGCATTAAAGCTATTACAAAATTTACAATAAATGTTTACTTATAATATGATAAGAAACTCTTTTACACAATGATTTTAAATTTTCGGTTATCAAAGCCAACTCGTAATACTCATAATTAGAATATTTAAAACGGTGCAGCATTAAAACTATCATAATAACTTTCAATAAAACTTTATGTTTCACACAATTACGATTTAAATTTTTGGTTATCAAGGCCAATTCGTAATAAATAACCTAAAAAATTTATTAGATTATAGTATTAATATATCGGCCTAGAGCTTGGATTCAGTGGATCCATTTAGCCTATTTTTCGGATATGTAGTTGCGAATTTTAGATATCCGCTTGTAAATTATCGTTGAATTAATCAAAAATGTAGTCTATAACGAATTTTTTATAACAATCTAAATAGAAAATTTTTGTCAAACTTACCGAATTTTTACTACGTATAAGAATTATTATAAAAAAAGCTTGCAATCAGAATATGTATTTTATTAATATCATCAATGCACATACATAGTAATATAATTCTGAAAAATAACGCTAATAAAATAGTAAAAATATCATTATTCGAGTAACTCAAGAGAAATTTCGCTTGAGGTTTCTCTAGATAAATAATCTTCACTATATGTCAATTATTACGATTATAAGTTATGTAAAAAAAAAAGGTTTTTATAAGAAGAGAATTACTATTTGTACACTAATGTGTACACACGGGGTATTGTTATTACTCTTATAAAACTACTTTGGGGGTTCTAACAAAAAATAATCTACGCAAAATTTTAGTATAAAGTACTCTCTAACCTCTAACCCTAACTCTAACCCTAATATTAAGTAGTTTTTTTTTTATGAATTTATATGTTGCCCAATCAATTAATTAATACCCCGTGTGTACACACTAGTGTAGGCTTAGAAATTTTCTTATAAGAATTCTCTATTCAATGTTACGTACAAAATATGTCATTTATTCATGCCAAAATATTAATGCATCATCATTATTAATCAAAGTATCAGATAGTTTAACGTTAATAGATATCCAAAAAAAAAATTCTTTAATCAAAAGTTATAAAATATATCATATCTGCGAAGCACTATATCGGCCAATCACGTTTAATGAAAATCATCTAACATTAAAAGTTGTCTCAACTTCTATCCAATACCTCTTGAGTGCTTCTACATAATCGATAATATTCTTCGTAACAATTTTAAGAATTTATTTTCATGCATACTCGTAAACCGTGGATGGTGTCGCATCATTATACCTAAGTTTACGGACAAAAAACTTCTAGAAATATTGTTTCAACATTAAACCCTGAAGAGAAAGCTTCATTGAAAATCACGCTCCCAAGCCAACCAAAGTCATTTTTTTTCGAATATACGAGTTATATTACGTCTGTCGACCGGTATTTGTTTGTTGGAGTTAGGGATTGGCTTAGTCCTAATTATGACGACGTCGAATTGCTTGAATACGCAATTAAGCATTCTATGCATCTTCGAACAGGCAAAAATCTTAAACGCTTATATCTTGAAGAACATTGTAGTAACTTCTGTAGATTTATACCTGTTCATTGAATGTTTTCAATCTCAGTCAATAGAAGGATTAGTAACGAACCTCGATGAGAATTATACTCTGACTTCTTTGAAACTTATATCAATTCAACTTAAGAATAAAGAATTGAAAACATTATTGGAGACTCTTTCTAAAACACTCATAAAATTTTTAGGTATTCACCAATGTCAAATTGGTTACAAAGGAGGAAAGATGTTAGATTATTATCTTTGCCACAACAACACGCCAATTTCTTTAAGCCTTTATGGAGATCCATGTTTCAGACATATTGGATAAAAATTAGTGAAGACAACTTATAATATTGTTATGAAACAATTGGAAAAAATTAATTCTGCCGTATACAATAGAGATTATATATATAGCTATTTTGGGTTCAAAACACTTGAAAGATCCTATCTTTTGCGATTGATGAAAAAGTAGTTGAAAGGCTACAATACATGCTTATGCGTGTGGCTGTTTGCATTCATGATGAAGATATCGATGCAGTAATTGAAACCAACAATTCAATTCTGAAAAGTATTTTACACATGCGTCGCCGACTCTTTTTAACGCTAGAACACCACGATCTCAGTTTCAAATTGTTTCCTTCTGATAATGAAATATGATTCCATCAAGGACATTTACGAAACATCAAAGACATATACCATAATTTCGAAAACGGCTGGTGATATTGGCTTAAAAATCCACAATATTTGATCCTTCGAATCTTATATTGCGGGTACTAATAAAGAGATGCGAGCACGAGACTTATTCTATGTCCTCTGGATATCTGATTTATTTATGAAATTGACGATAATTAGTCTTTTTGATCCAGCAGAGACACCTGGACTTATGGGTGTATAGAGATGAATTTGAGGTAAGATTGCGATATAAGATTAAATAACTTTTCACCAATGTGAATTACTGATTTTTCTATTGCACAAATTTAGAAATTATGTGAGAATTAAGTTTAGCATGCAAAACCGTTAAAACTTAAAAAGTATGGTCTGCAATATTAGAATCACAAATCGAAATGGGTACTCCATACATGCTTTATAAAGATTCTTGTAATCGTAAATATAATCAGCAGTAACTTGGAACGATCAAATTATCGAATATTCTAAAAGTGATTAGGTGGCAGTGTGCAATCTAGCAAGCATAGCTTTACCAATGTTTGTTAAGGTATGAATTTGAACACTTGTCTTTTAATAATATTTAATTATTAATTTACTCCTAATGCAAGTTTGCTTCATTATTTATTAGATCACAAAAGTTATATTCGTAATTTAAATAAAATAATTATTATCCTGTTGAAGAGGCGCGTAGGTTTAATTCTCGGCATCGTCCAACGGGCAAAAATCCGATGTATTTATATTTAGAAGCAATTAGTTGCAATCAAATTACGGTTACCTCTGTGGATTTTGTCTCTCGAGCAGCAAATATCAACTTCAGGCAATAGAGGGATTAGTAACGAACCTCGATGAAAATTCTACATTAATTTCTTTGAATCTCATATTAATTAGACTTAAAGGATGAAGAATTGAAACCGTTATTGAGTACACTCAATAAATGCACAGTTATAAAATCTTTATATCGTATTATTATCATTATCATTATAAACTTTTACTAAAACACACCTGTGGTTGGGGTATTTTATATACTAAATGTATAAGGTATTATAATAAAAAATTATTAGCACAGATTTTTACATATTATCTGATATTTTTGATGATTATACCCGGCAATATTCTTTAACCGAATCTTCGAAGATTCAGCATTAAAACTACTGTATTAACAAAATTTACAATAAAGTTTTACTAATAATATGATACACAATTACGATTTAAATTTTTGATTATCAAGGCCAATTCGCGACAAACGCTCATCTTTTAGTCAAAGCATATAGATTAGTATATAAAAATACCCCGATCACTATAACCATATCAAGATCACGGGTATTTTAATTTATCGGCCAATCACGGTTAATGAAAATCATCTGACATAAAGGAATTTCACGTAAAATAAAATTTTGTCGCGTCTCAACTTTTACCTCAACTTTTTCAACTTTTTACTCAACTCAATTATTATCTCAACTTCATCTTAAAATGCTTAAAATGTTTCCTATACCTCTTGAGTGCTTCTACATAATCCTTAATAATATCATAATCATTAATAATATTCGTAACAATAAGAATTTATTTTCTTGTATGCTTGTAAACCATGAATGGTGTCGCATTATTATACCCATACTGTGGAGTGAACCGGGGCCAAAGTTTGAGGACGAAAAACTTCTAGAAATATTGTTTTCAACATTAACTTCTGAAGAGAAAGCTTCATTGGAAATCACGGGGTTCACGGGAATCACGCTCCCAAGCCAACCAAAGCCACTTTTTTTCGAATATACGAGTTATATTAAATCTGTTGACAAGTGGTTGTATTCTGGAGTTAAAAATTTCGTTGAACATAATTACCCTGGCAAAGAAAATCTCGAATGTGCAATTATACATCTTTTAATTAGAATGCTTCTTCGAACAGGCAAAAATCTTAAACGTTTATATCTTAAAGATATTAATTGCACTCAACTAATGTTTAAGAACACTGCAGTAACCTCTGTGGATTTACTTCTGAAGCCCCTTGCACATTTGCGTGATTGTTTTCATCCTTATCCTCTTCTTAAGTTTCGAGATCAGA